CAAGATCGTTACGTCTTTAGTATTATTTATTTACGTATTTGTTGTCTCTTGAGTAGAAGTGGTGTGCGCAGCGGGACGAACAGTTCCAAACACTGTTTATTCGGTGAGCAACATGGTGGCAAGAAAGGAGGAAATTAGAACTGAATCGGAAATGGGGAAATAAATGCCATCGCTGGCCCAGTGGGGAGAGGGACCCCGTTACGGTGGAAAGGGCACTGGATAGGTGAGGGGCCGGGGAAGCAAAGGGAAAGGCGGGGGCGCTCGAAGGCGCTCCGCAACAGTATTTTTATTTACCCGAGTCGATTTTTAGTGACAATCGTGTTTCTATATGGGACCTAACCTAACGTGCGCAGAATTTTGCGCCGACTCCGAACCTGTGTTGAAAATTAGCGAAACGATCAGTTTCAAAAAGTTATGAAGGTGGTAAGGGCGAAAAAATTCGAGAATGACTAACAAGGAGACGTTTTTGAGTGTCGTCGGGACTTTGGCATGGGACCAAGCCTATCTTGTGCAGAATTTTACGCTGATTCCGAATATGTTAACCGTTTTTGCGGAATAGCCATTTCTCGAAAGTTATGAACGATTTAATCCTCAAAACAGCCCAAAATCGGCTACTTCCGCTAGTCACAAAAGGCGACGGAATAGGTTTTAGACAAAACCAGATAGTGCATCTTGTTCAGAAAAAAATTCTCTATAAAATGTAGCATCTTCTCCAAAATCAATGAAAAGTTAGAAAAATTTGATTAATTGGGAGGTCCATCCTTTTAAAAAAATTTGAAAATTCCAGCATTTTTGAGTTAAGTAGCTTATTTTATAGAGAATTTTTTTCTGAACAAGATGTACTATCTGGTTTTGTCTAAAACCTATTCCGAAGCCTTTTATGACTATCGGAAGTAGCCGATTATGGGCTGTTTTGAGGTTTAAATCGTTCATAACTTGCGAGAAATGGCGATTCCGCAAAAACTGTTACCATATTCGGAATCAGCGTAAAATTCTGCACAAGATAGGCTAGGTCCCATGCCAAAGTCCCGACGACACTCAAAAACGTCTCCTTGTAAGTTCGCAAATTTTTTGCCTTTTGCGCCCTGAAAAACTTCATAGCTTTTTGAATTGGATCGTTTTACAGATTTTGAGAGCGGGTTCGGAATCAGCGCAAAATGCTGCACAAGCCAGGCTTGGCCAGTACGGAAACGCGATTGCCACTAAATAACGTCTCCTTGTTAGCTTTAGCTAAACGAGACCTACATATGCGGTATATTTTGCCTGTATAGAAATACGGCGTATTATGGCTATGACCCGGGAACCACTGTAGCGATCGGGCTATAACTTAGAATTAAGGTTATTTAGGGTCGGATACTCCTCTGGTCCCAGTTTGGGACCGATCGGATGTAATACAACGAAATGCCGGAGGCGTGTTTTTTTTTGGGGACATACTGTAGATACACACTTTATTAACTAATCGTAATCGGCTGAGCAAATGTCCGCGTGACTTCTTGGCGTGTGGTTTTTGGCACACCAGAATGAATCGAGGAGCCACTGCGGTTCATCGAAGTGAAGAACATTTTCACCAGGTATCCGCGCAGCGTTCGGTTCAAAATTATCCCAATCCACGCTTCGCTCAACGTCGAACAGTCCGATACGACGTTTAGCTGAAAAAACAATAGCTTAAGATTAAGAATCAGCGCTTTATAATAGTAAACAAATTGAGGAAGTTGCAAAATTTACCAAAAACGGTTTCATCTGCGGGCTTAGGCCAATCTTGGCATTGTACAGCTAAAAAATAGCTATATCACTGAAGTGATATCAGCCCACCAGATAAAACATTAACAGTAGCTGAACGGCTAGGGTAGCCAAGCTAATAAAGATCAGGTTGATTTCGAGGGCATTCCCGGTTGTGATTCTAAAAATAAAAAAGTCTCTTGGGCTTCAGAAGTAATAGATTTGGTATTTGAAAATAATAGAGACTACATTACTTGGAAATTCCCAACTTCCGCTATGGCTTGGCAAAATAATCACTGGTTTTTTCGGTTTTCTGACACGATAGGCTTGACTAGAAATTTTGGAAAATGGATTTTTGAAACAAAACTTTTCTGAATATATAGGGTAACGGGGGTGGGGGGAGATTCATGATTTTTAATATTTTAAATTTATAAAAGTTTTATAGCTTAAAAATAAGCGTGAAAACTATGGGCGCCATCTAGGATATGAGGGTAAACCTAATTTCGGCATTCTGGAAATTTCCGATAGTTTCAAAATGTCATTCCATAGAGGGTCAAAGTATGCTAAGAGGTTTTTGCCCGTAAAACATTTTTCAAATTATTTTTATTGCAGCAAAACTTTGATTCCCCGTAATGTTGTGTGTACCTAGTTTTCGAAGAAGTATTTTCCAGGTTATCGATTTATAGAACCATCTTTTTTTAAGTACCAACCTCCCGCTCTTCCACCTCATATACACCAACTTTGCAAACGTCCCCGAGCAAATGACTAGAGATAGTAAAGGGTAGATTTGGCTGGCTTGCCCGATGATGAAGTAGGTTTGAAGCAATTGCTGGCAATCGTGCATACCATTTAATAAGATTACTTACGTAGATCGCCAATGGGTTGCTGATCGCGTAGTCTCCAGACTTGACGAAAATCTCGTCAACGGAAAGGGCTTGATAGCAAAGCGCGTTGCCGATAAAGAATAAAATCATGGAGATGATCACGATGTTGCGGGTGCGCCACATCTGAAGATATATCCATGTGCGTTGCTCCTTTTTTATCTATTTTGTGTGCGTGCGCTTAGCGCAAGGTCCTAACCTTTCCATTTTGTACTACCAACTCATACCTGATTATACGCCACCGGTGTCCATACAATCGTGAACCGGTTAAGGTGCATCATGATGAGGGCGAAATTTTGGCAGTGAAAAGCCCCGAGTTGCCACATGTAAAAGACACGGATTTGCGGAAATGCCTCGTCGAGGCCCGCGTAAAAATCGGCAACGACGGAGAGTTCTCGAAATTTTATGGTGATGTAGGTGTTCACATAGGTGGCGAAGTGCTAAAACATAGGCATTAAATTTATATATCCGCTATCATGTGGTTGTACGCTTTTTATGCCAGATAATCGGGCGTAAAGTCCGGCATAAAGTTCGGCTTAAATTTGGGCTCGGCTTACAATTTGGCTTGTTAGGCTTAGGCTTAGGCTTGACTTACAAGGAGACGTTTTTTGGTGTGAATGGAGTTCTGAGTGGAAACCAGGCCTATTTTGTGCAGAATTTTGCGCTGATTCCGAATATGTTTTCCATTTCTGCTAAATAGCTCGATTTCAAAAGTTACAGCAATTTTAAGATCATTTTAGCCCAAATTTTCCCCTCTTTAGGGACCATCATATTGCTTTTCCCGGCTATTTTTCCAAAAATAATTATTGTCACCGTATTCAGAAAAATTTTCTCTATCGAATGAGCTATTTAACTCAAAATTGTTGAAAATCGAAAAAATCGACGATACTTGGTATGGACTGCGATTTTTGTATGGGAAATGGTGAAAAACAGTCTATTTCTCACCCCTGTAAGCCATCGTCGATCGGCAGTAGCGCACTAATCAAATATACCATTCCAATCAAAAAAAAATTTTCTACAAGATAGGCTACTTAAACAAAATTAAAATGTTATAACAAAAAAGTGGCACAGCATAGCAGATGACCACTCTGGGCCTAAAAATTATCTTAAAATAGCTGTAACTTTTTAAATCGAGCTATTTAGCAAAATTGGAAAACAGCATCGGAATCAGCGCAAAATTCTGCACAGAATAGGCCTGGTTTCAACTTAAAACTCCATTCACACTAAAAAACGTCTCCTTGTTAGGCCTGACTTAGGCTTGGCTTAGGCTTGGCTTAGGTTTGGCCTTAGGCTTAGGCTTGGGCTTAGGCTTAGGCTTGGGCTTAGACTTACCACAATCAGCACATACAAATAAACCTGGTAAAACGACCCAGAAATCAAGGTCCTTGTTCGTATTATGCAAATTATCACCAAAACAAGCAAAATAAACGACGGGATACCGTAGGAAAGATAGATCAAAAGGTATTCCAGCATTGTCCGAGTGCTATGAAGCTCCGTAGAATGAATCAGTAGCCTCGCGGAACTTCCTACCAAGCACCGTCACACAAAACCTGATACTCACTGGTGCCCTAACTTCGGTTTCAAGCCTCGTCACATTCCCCTGGGGATTGGCCTGAAGATTGTTCCTGCTTTTTTCGAATTCCAGTCAGATTCCAAATGCAGATTAAAGATGAGGCTCCATATCTCGTCCTTTTCGGTTCAAAATCTCAATTTTATTACGCACCCGTGGGACAGAACATTTTCTCTTTTGTGCATTTTTCTGTAACCTTTTTGCTTCGTGGAGAAATTCTGCGAATTTGAGTAGCTCTTCGAACACCTAATGACCCTGTAGACGTTGTGGTGTGTGTTTTCTGCTCGCGCAGTCCCAGGTGGCCGCATTATTGACCGAACTACATATCTGGGGTGCAAAAGTTCTGCGGGCGTCGCTGGTGGATTCTCCTTTGAGGGGTGGTTTTGTTTGAAGTATACCTCGTGCACAGAAAAGTAAGAAAACCAGAAAGGTCGAAGTGCATAAATCCTGGAAAAAGGGCCAGCAAAGCGCTTTTTAATTAGCTAAAACTATTTTGGGCTCTAAGTTTAACCTTGATCGGCACTGTACCTGTTTTTTCTCATAGCGAAAATAGTCTGTCTTTTTGCGAAGCGTAAATGTTGATCACAGGCTTCATGGAAGTTTTCTGCTTAGAAATTTTTTATGGTGTTGTTTTCAATTTTGTCGACGTTTTGGACCCATTTTCGTGCCCAAAACGAAGCAAAATTGGAAGAACAATCGGATTAACGCTGAGCCGATGGTACATACAATCAGGATCAGCCGAGCAAAATGTTCAGCTAGCGTTCGGGCTCGGCCTCGCCTGGTAATGGTCAGGGTTGTGGCAATCAAACAACTCTGACGCAAGCAGTTTATCTATGATTCGATTGGCTCCGCGTCGTGCGCAGCGAAATCTCGTTGATCTCACCGGCCACCTTCGGGCGTATGGCACGCGCGAAGAAGCGCTCAAAATACATCGAGTAGAAGCGCTTCCGGAGCTGCGCGTTGAAGATCAGCCCGATGTACGCCTCGCCGAGGGTGGAGAAATCGGAGACGACGTTCAGCTGAAGGATAATAGGCGTAATTAAATTTTGAGGAGGTTGGGAAGTGTGAGGATCTACTAGTCGCCGGAACAGGTCGATTCTGCACTTCACAGGCCCTTTAAACGACCGGAGGAGGCAAATTATGGATTTTGAGAGAGAAGAGATGGTCTTCGAGTAATCGTAACGTACCACGATCCCCTGTAGTGTAGACGTCAACTTCAGAAGCGATACCCAGAGCTAAAAATGGATAGATTTTTCTGTGTTTTTGGCGTTCACAGACAATCTTTACGCTAGTTTTTTTCTCGTTCTACGGCAATTATGCGCTTGTGAACGTTTTGAACTTAAAGGGCACGTTCAGGGACGTTTTTTTGGAAAAAAGCAAAGATTTTCGCCGCGGCCGGGGGTCGAACCCGGGCCCCCGCTTGGGAGGCGCGGATGGATACCAGTCAGCCACAGCTACAACCTGGCGAGGGGGCGAGGGGCGCACCACCCCTCAAAGGAGGGGGAATGGCCTGTCACAGCACGGGCAGGCAGTGCGCGCGGCCCCTACGTCCATAGGGTGTATACGTTGGGACGAGTATACGGCCCCTCCCTGAACGTGAGCTTTAAAGACCGCCAGAACGATGAAATTCCCTTGAGAGCACGAAAGTTGTGCACCGGGCAGGGGTCGAACCCGCGATGGTTCGACCCACAGTCCAACGCGCTAGCCACTATACCACAGGGCCAAGTGGGGAAGGGAGTCAGAGGTGCCCCAAACCCAAGAGGGCCTTTGCCCAATACGGGACACCACTAATGACGCCTCTCTCCGCGCGTTCTTGGGGGCCGCACCCTCGGGGTGACAGTGTGCGTTCCAGAGTTCTAGCGGTCTTTAACATTACGTGAAGCTTAGTCCCTCTGGTTATTTTAACTTACCACAAATGCCATCAGCGCCAACTGTATCACGAGACTAGCAACGCAAACCAAGAACAACTTGATTTCAGTCCTTTTGTCGTCCGATAAGCTAAATAAAAGAAAGAAATATACTCAGGCTTTTTTAGTACCGTTTTCCCTTCAGCCGATAGTAGGCTAGGCGACAGAACGTCAGTAGGATTATAAGTAGTGAGGTAAGCGGGTACACCTGCGCCGAAATGTTGAGTAGCTTGTTGGAGAAGACAATTTGCTGAAAAGCGTCAAGGTTATTCATTTTGGGACATTCTAAGGGGACCAGGAAGTGCAAAAATCGACACTATGCCGATTAGGTCTGAACGGATGACGACACTTTTAATTGCTGCGTAGCGGTAAAAAAAACTAAGTTTGAGCAGACGGATCCTCGCATTTTCGAATCCCATAAATAAGCCAATCGGGGACGATAAAAGAGTGTCCTTCAGCTTTACCGACCTTTGCGACGGTCGGTGTCTGCTTCGGATATCCCTCGGCGTCAATGTAGTAAATATCCTCCGCGAAGAACCCCTGATACGCCAATGAGCAGCCAAGCAGGAAAGAAATTGCGCAGATCCAGTTGACGATGCGTGGTTTCCAGATCTGAAAAGTAGATAAGCGAAGGTATAGGCTTAGACTTCGGCTTAGGCTAGGTCTAGACTTGGGCTTGGGCTTAGGCTTATGCGTAGGATAGGCGTGGGTTTGGGCTTAAACTTAGGCCTAGATTTAGGCTTAGGCTAGGGCTAGGCTCAGGCTTCGGCTTAGACATAGGCTTGCGTCCTGATTAAGCTAAGACTTGGGTTAGGCTTAGGCTTAGCTATCAGGTAACACACCCTATTATGCACCAACGGCAGCCAGACGATAGTAAACCGATTCAGATGAAGCAGGATCAGTGCAAAACTTTGGCAGTGGAAAGCCCCGATGTAGAACATGAAAAATATACGATAGGGTGGGAAGGCTTTCTCGATTCCTAGATATATGTTGGCGAATATAGTTAAGTCGCGGAATTTGAAGGTGATGTATGTGTTGAGGTAGGTGATGTAGTACTAAAAACTTTTGAGTAGCCGTGTTTTTGAAATACACGATTTCGTCAGCAAGGAGCGGGAGAGGGTAGAGAGAGAGCGAGAGAAGCGAAATTGAGAGCGAGCCAGAGAGCGAGAGCGGTAGAGAGACAGAAAGAGATAGGGCGAGAGCTAGATGGAGATATCATAAATTACTTACCACAATCAACACATACAAATACAGCCTATAAAAGCTGCCCTTCAGAAAGTCCTTGGTCTTCAGAATACACGCTATCACCAGCGTCATCAGGATCAACGACGGAATACCGTAGGCCAAATAAATCAAAAACTGCGGCTTCATTGTAGCGAGAATGTTTGCCGGCACAGCTCATATCCTTTTCTCCAAAATTTCAAAAATAATCTATTAGTTGCGGGGCTACGGGGCAGAACAAAAAAATAGCCTGATGAAAAAAAACCCACGCCCCCTGGGGGATCCTTGCGGATGCTAATTCCAATTGATTCGTGACGGCCAGAGGAAATGGCGTAGTTTTTGAAGTGTTGAAAATCCTTCCGAGGTTTCTATGGAATTTTATGCACAGAAAATATAGGGATTGGGCTTAGAAATCACTGAAATGAGCATTTTTCATGGCGCACGACACCGGGGAGTACACCAAAAAACTTCAGAATCAGGTGCAGTATTTTTCACGTAATTTCCACCTGCTTGGGACCATTTTTTACATACGGAGCTTTGTCCCGCAAATTGGCTCGTGGCGTGGAATAAATCATGTACAAAATTAATAAGAAACGACTAAGGTACTTAAAAATAGTTGGGTTCTGAATTAGTGGAATATCGGTGCAGCAGGTTCGACATTACGACCCTTGCAGTGGTGAAATATCGAAATTCAGAATGTCCGAATTATAAATTCCGTCCACCGGAATTTCGGTATTCTCGTAGCAGCCCAGAAAATATCACCGTTTCGAGATCTAACTAGGCTATAAAAACGGCAGTTACGGTATCATTCCTATATACCTGATATTGTTCCGTTTTCAAGCTTCTAAATTTAGAGCTTCCTTTAAAAAATTAGCTTTAGAATTTAGAAATTTTTCCTTTCAGGATGATCAGACCCTGGAAGCGCAGTGGCCTTGCTTTATTAGAAAATTTATTTTGAAACTGTCCTGATTTTTTCACTGGATATAGGCGATATCGATTTTTCGTACCAGGAAACGTCGAATGTAAAGAGCAATGAAGCGGCGGCGTAGGTGTGAATTCACAATTAAACCAATATAGGCTTCAGCGAGGGTAGAGATGTCGGACACCAGGTTCAGCTAAAGCAATTGATTGTTTCGCTCTCTCTCCCTCTCTCTCTCTCTCTCTCTCTCTCTCTCTCTCTCTGCTCTCTCTCTCTCTCTCGCCCTCTTTGTCTCTGTCTGTCTCTCTCCCACTCTCTCTCTCTGTCTCTCTCTCTCTCTCTGTCTGTCTCTCTCTCTCGGGCTTTCTCTCGCTTACCACCAAGCTTTGCCAATCCGACTTCAGCTTCATTGCAGAGATACAGACCTAAAACGGGGTAAAATGGTATTTATTAATTTTCGATACCACGCATGCCATCAACGCTATCTGTATCCACAAGCTGGCCATACACACTAAGAAGAGGTTGATTTCCAGATGATTGTCGGCCGCGATCCTGAGTTATCTTTCTTTCTCTATCTGTATGTCCTGTCTCTCTCTCTCGCTCTCTCTCTCTCGCTCTCTCTGTCTCTTGCTTTCTCCCTATTTCACCTTTGTCCCTTCATTCGAAAATACGCTAATCGACCGAACGATAGAACATGGATGAAAAGCGATGTCACCGGATAGACAATCGACATCGTGCCGAGAAGGCGGTTCGAAAAGACGACTTGCTGGAAAATCGGAGATGAAGCGAGAGGTACAGATAGAGCGAGGGAGAGAGAGCAAGAGAGAGAGAGAGAGAGAGAGAGAGAGAGAGAGAGAGAGAGAGAGATAGAGAGAGCGTGAGTGAAAATGATCCCACCTCCGTCGCCTCCATCGTCTGTACAGCATAACCTTCAAAGTTTTCCTTGTAGACATTTTGCACGAAAAAGCCTTGGTAACCAAACGAGAAGCCGATTAAGAAGGCCAATAGACATATCCGGTCGATGAATGAAGGTCTCCAGATCTAAAAACGCTCATAGAAATACGTAGCGCCTGCGAGGCAAGAGAGAGCGAGAGAGAGAGAGAGAGAGAGAGAGAGAGAGAGAGAGAGAGAGAGAGAGAGAGAGAGAGAGAGAAAGAGAAAGAGAGAGCGAGAGCGAGAGAGGGAGAGAAGGAGAGAGAGGAGAGAGAAAGAGAGAGATAGAGAGAGAGAGGAGAGAGAAAGAGAGAGAGAGAGAGGAGAGAGAAAGAGAGAGAGAAAGAGAGTGATATATTTTTCTCACCTTCTTATGGACTAGTGGAAGCCAAATGATGGTGAAACGGTTCAGGTGGAGCAGGATTAGCGCCAAACTTTGGCAATGGAAAGCACCTGAAAGAATGCTAATTAGGTAATTTGAAAGCAGCGCAAAACTTACCATAGCTAAAAACATAGAACAGTCGATAAGGTGGGAATTTGCATTCGATGCCGACATATAGTGGGGTTAGGGATTGGAAATCGCGCAGCTTGAAGGCGACGTACGTGTTCAGGTAAATCATAAGATACTAAAATATAATGAAGGGGTAGTTATTAGGTAACACCATCATTAATTTACAGGGTGTCCCAAAAAAACGACGCATCCAGCATTTCGCCGGGTTACATCCAATCGGTCCCATATTTGGACCAGAGGTGTATCAGACCCTAAATAACAACAATCCTAATTTACAGCACCATAGCTACAGTAGTTTTAAAGTTATACCGAAAATACTGTTTTTCCCGGAATTCTGAACAGTTGTATCGGCTATCCTTTTGGGCCTTGCATCGATTTGTATTGACTTCCGGCTGCGAATCCCAAATTTCGCTTAAAGGGCTGCCGACGGCATGCGTCGATCCCCCCCATCAACAAATTGGCAAGTAGCCAACAGGGCAGAGAGCGCGCCCTGGGGAGAGGAGCAGAGACATTTTCTTTTCCGCGCGTAACCGATTGACTATGCCGTCGGCATCCCTTTAAGAAGTGGGGTAGTTTTGCGTTGTAAAAATCGCTTCAATCAAAGCTTATTTAATTAATTTTACACTGGAAAAAATTTCTTACGGTAAAGAAGGCCTAGAAGGATCATTTTCACTTAGTGTTTAGGGGGTCTAATTCCACGAAAACCCTATGAAAAGTGCAAAAGAAAGTTTGTTTTTGCTATAACTCGCGAACTACGTTAGCTACAGGGCTATAACTCAGGATTGTTGTTATTTAAGGTCTGATATACATTTGGTCCAAATTTGGGACCGAATGGATGTAACACGGCGAAATGCAAGATGGGTCGTTTTTTTGGGACACCCTGTAGTTGCTTACCACAACTAGCACATACAAATAAAGACGGTAGAACGATGAGCTTTTCATCAAATCCGGGCTCCGCAAAAGACACCCAATTACCATAGCCATCAGGAGAAGCGACGGGATACCGTAGCTTAGGTAGAACAGGAACTTTATGTGCATTCTAAAAAATGACTGGATGTCTAAAGAGTTTTCTACACTGCAAAAAAGATTGAACCAGAACCGAAATTTTCTTAAATTTAAGCCTTAAATTTGTTATATTTCTTAGGATAAATCCATGAAGCGTTAGTAAGCCTACAATAAGAAAAAATAAGTTTCAGAATTTTTTTGAAATATGTTACAAACGATGCTAGCCTTCAAAATTTTGTAGGAAAGGTGCAACAAAGTAAACGTATTTCCGCTATTTTTTTCGAATTACAGGGATCACCTAATCACAAATCCTTTCAAAAAAAATCATATTTGAATTTTCCAAATTTTCGGTTGGGTCTCCGCGCGGTCATACTGTAATGAACTAGCCAGGAATTTTTCTGAAGCCGTCTTTCGAGTTCTAGATGCACCCAAAGTGCTCACAATCGTGAGCTTTAAAAGGTTGCAACGGGTAATTCAGCTAAATACAGCCCCCGTCTGGGTTCAGTGTAGTGCTTTTTTTGCCCCAAAATCGAGTCGAAATCGTTAGTTCGACGGCCGGAAATTGGTTGTTTCGCGCTGGCTGAAATACGCGTGAGACGTTCTGAACCGAATCATTTTGCTCAAAATTGCCGGCCATTTTCTAGTCCTATGGCATGTGTTTAGGAAGGGGAGCGTCTTTTGGAATTGGCGTCTTTGATGAGGCTGCGATTTTGGTTACGGTACTTCCTCTAAATCGAACTTCCTGAGTGTTTCAAAACGTAGTTGTTTTTCATTGCTGTTTGTCTCTTTTTTTCTGCTTTCGGCTTGGCTTAGGCTTAGCTTCGGCTTAGCTTAGGCTTAGCTTAGGCTTAGCTCAGGCTTAGCTTCGGCTTAGCTTAGGCTTAGCTTAGGCTTAGCTTCGGCTTAGCTTAGGCTTAGCTTAGGCTTAGCTTAGGCTTAGCTTAGGCTTAGCTTAGCCTTGGCTTAGGCTTAGCTTCGGCTTAGCTTAGGCTTAGCTTAGGCTTAGCTCAGGCTTAGCTTCGGCTTAGCTTAGGCTTAGCTTAGGCTTAGCTTAGGCTTAGCTTCGGCTTAGCTTAGGCTTAGCTTCGGCTTAGCTTAGGCTTAGCTTAGGCTTAGCGTAGGCTTAGCTTAGGCTTGGCTTAGGCTTAGTTTAGGCTTAGCTTAGGCTTAGCCTAGGCTTAGCTTAGGCTTAGGCTTAGGCTTAGCTTAGGCTTAGCTTAGGCTTAGCTTAGACTTAGCTTAGGCTTAGCTTAGGCTTAGCTTGCTTTGGCTTGACTTAGGCCTAGCTTAGGCTTGATCTCTGCTTTCCATCGCGGACACTTGCACTTTCACGAACCCGGCCAGGTTTCGGGGTCTAGGACAATACGTAATTAGACGCGAAGTTTCGTAGCGCCTTGTAAATACTCATTATTCTCAAGGCTTGTGTCTAAAGGTGGATCAAAATACTTTCTAGAATCTTGAAAGTTTCGGATTTCAGAGATTTATATGACCTTCTAGGGGTCAGAAAAAACACAATAAAATATCGCAATATAATCAATTATTTTCCAGATAAAGGAAGATTAGCCCATTCGCTAATGACGCCTAGTAATTGGAAATCCCATTTAAAACAGAAGCGGGTGAGTACAAAGCACACAACAGACAGGGAATAAGTTAGTATTTTCAGTATCCGGCACTCCGCTATCAGCTATCAGCTAGTTTAGATCGCAGCCGTTTGTTCAAAATAACGCCGAACCACGCCTCGCTCAACGTGGAGCCATCGGAAACGCAATTTAGCTAAAACCCTTTGCGTTAGGAAGTTTTCGATCCCCGTCATTTTGCTCCAGACTATTTTTTATTATCTATGTTTTTTCGCCTTGTGTGCTTTTTAAAAATTCACCGAAAAATTGGCGGGGAAACTACGATACCAGAGGAGAGGCAGAACCTTCTAAAGTGCATTAAATTTAATACTTCAATTCTGCATTTACGCCTATCGATGCCTGCAGTTGTCGGCATTTTTCTTTTCAGAACCCATAATTTTTCGACATGTCCATATTTCGGCTATCGACAGGCCGAGAACACTTCCAAGACCTCGTCACGCTTCCGGCACCGTTGCTGAAGAAACCATTCCGCCATTTTTCCTCGCTTTTTCCCCCGATCATACTATACATCAAATTCGTTGCCCATTCACAAAACACAACCAATTACGTGTTCTACTGCAACCGCAGCCGCCGCGGTACAACAGGGTTCCCCCGACGCTCCCCAAGGGCAACTTTTAGCGTTATGGAACATCTACGAAATCATGGATCTCAAAAGATCCAAAAAAAATCAGCGGAAAAATCACGGTACAGAGTTAATCTGCCAATTCCAGTACCACGTATGGGGTTCATGACACGGTCGTATCTAGCGCCTTCGGAAATTGCTCGTATTCAGCCCGGAAAAATCTTGATTTTTTGGGAAAATACTGCCACTCCTGAACTGATGCTCAAATTCTTCATAATATATCTAATCTACGGGATACCTTCAGTGATATTACTAGCCTTACAAGGATACCTCCCCAGCTCGAAGTTCAGCTTCGATTAGCTAAACAGCCTATCAGATGCAGTTTTTTACGCTGATAACGATACCGCTATTTATTTTTGCCCAAATCCACAGGAACACTGTTAAAAATAGCTTTAAAGTTTCGCCATGGTATACCGCCATGCCTCAAAGCCCTTCCCCAGGGCAAGGTACCCATCGGTGGAGTGGTGTAGTCGGCAAGTACTTGGCATACCAAACTAGTGGTTAGGGGTTCGAGTCATTCCGCTGACGACTTTTTTGCTTTTTGGATAAAAAGTGCTGGGAAGGTCATATGAACGCCCAGTAACAATTTTTCTAGTGTGTTTGGCCCCTTGGTCATTGATTTGGCAACAGAAAGCATTTTGGCAACAACACAGATTTTTTTTGGCAACCTGATAATGATTATGAGTAATTGTGCCATTAAAAACTCTCCTTCTCACCCTGGAGCAGAAAAACGCTAGACATCAAAATCGATGGTAAACAACGCCTAACAAATTCCTTTTCGATAACTCAAAACAGTTTTGAGCAAGCGCCAGAAATTGCTGATTGACCCCTTTGATAATTCAAACTTTCTTTGACCAAAAAAATGAAACCGAACATAAAATCGTAATCAAACCGACCAAGCGATGCAAAACAAATGAAAAATTTTTTACTGGGCGTTTATACGGCCTTCCCAGCACTTTTTATCCAAAAAGCAAAAAAGTCGTCAGCGGCAAGACTCGAACCCTTGATCACTAGATTGGTATACCAAGTAGTTGCCGACTACACCACGCCACCGATGGATGCCTCCCCCTTGGAAGGAGGCTTTGAAGCGCCTGTGGCAAATCACGCCCAGCCAGGCAAAAATGCGTAATGTTTAAAATGATTTTTCATAGCGTTCCTCTGGATTTGGGCAAGAATAAATATCGGGATCGTGATCAGCGCGAAA